ACCTATAGTTCAAGTTCGTTTATTGAGGCAATGAAATATATCTCAAAGGGATAGAGTAGATTAGGTTATTTCTACCCCTCATCTACTTCAAGTCTCTCAAGAGGGCGCACATATCCAGTGAATACAAAAGCCACAATTCACAGTTCAAGAAACATTTTCATTACAGGTTAAATTAATACAGTAAACAGCGCATGTAATTGTTACACTCTTGGGTTAAAGTGCTTGTAGCTCCTAAGCTGGCAGTGTTTAGTGCCAATGTCAATAACTTTATTGATACCTTTAACGTGTCCGGAGGTGGAATTAAAAAATGTAATTAGCTTCTAATTATTAGCTCATTTGATCGGTTATGGTCAAGTTGGTTGGATAATTAATGCAATTGACTCTTTCGGTAAATTGTGCTTTCATGTCTGGTTTTAATGACACTATGCGGTGACACTATTGATGGTGATCAGGTGTATAGTGAGGTGATGGTGCAGCAACAGGTGTAGGACCTGAGGAGGAGCATTGTCAACACACCTGCAACACTGTGATTGCCACAAAATCGTTGTTTTTACAAATATTTCATCGTTGCATGATGTTGCGACAGCTGTTCAAAGCTTGTAAACTTCTGACCTGAGGTAGGCGTGGGTACGAGTTTATTTAATATAGTCTTCCCTGACCGTAGTTTTGATATAATATATATATATATATATATATATATATATATATATATATATAATCAAAACAAAAATATATATATATTATATCAAAGTTTTGATATAATATATATATATATATATATATATATATATATATATATATATATATATATATATATATATATATATACACACACTACAGTGTCAAACCACGAAGGAAAATTGAAACAGGAATTTCCTTAAGTACTTTCGTATATTAATACATCTTCAGAAAGAGTCAATTAATATACGAAAGTACTTAAGGAAATGCCTGTTTCAGTTTTCCTCCGTGGTCTGACACTGTCACATTTTTAATCACGTGTTTATTTTCGTTATATACACACACATTAATTATATATATATATATATATATATATATATTAATATATATATATATATATATATATATATGGTAGACTACAATATTCAATATAGTAGTCACCCTAATATATTTCAACTAAATTTAGGTGTATTAGAACCACACCACAAGTCCTATTCGCAGATATTATTTAAAGCACTTCATAAAGATGCCAAAGGAATATATATGTGCATATATCATATATGAATATATATGTTTTTATATATGTGCAAAATAGCACATATATAAAAGCTAAGGAAATGTACGTAAATAAAGGTTTAATTTTCTAACAAAATAGCTGCAAAAAAGTGCAATAAATCAAACAAAATAATCCAGCTTGAATTCTGTACTTTACTAGGTTACAAAAAAGACGAATCCCTCTGTATCCCAGCATTATAAAAGTCTTACATAAAACTACAAATCCCCATTTTCCTGTCATCCTTCGCGAACGACATATATATGAAATATATATATATATATATATATATATATATATATATATATATATATATGAAATATATATACATATATATGAAACATATATGTATATATCATATATGAAATATATATCAAAAGCGTCGTCAGATATCATAAAGGTTTAGCACTGGCCAACAGAAAACGATATGACATTGAACAGTGATAAATTACAATTGTTTCTGTATACAGCAAATACGAAAATCTTATATATAATATATATAAAAATAATCTTATATATCTTATATAATATGTATCATGTCCTTGAAACGAGGACATGATACATAACCCCTTTATATCTCACAGAAATGGGCGAGTTTGCCATATATCATAGAATAATATTGTCAGAAGAAGCGTTTTCTGTTAGACGTTTTTAAAAGGTATAAAATGCCTTGTAAGTTATTCTTTACATGAAAACAAATTGCAGTTATTAGCTTGAGAACGTTAGGGATTATCCACCCTCTGGGGCTCCTGTATATCAGTAATTGGTATGGGCTCACCATAGCCCGTGCTACTTGGAACTTTTCCTTCCGGGTGGCGAATCTTTTACAACAGTAATTGAGAAAACAAAGTGAAATTATGCTAATATTTGTACAGCCGTCAGCCAAACTTTGTGCTATTCTCACCAGCTATGTTTAAAAGATTAACACAGTTCCCCATGTAATAGAAAACTAGAAACTATAAAATAGGAGCTATGACTCTCTTAAACATGACCTCTGACAGCTTTAAACATTTTTATGTTTATCTCTTCCAGTTTCTCCTCGTCAATGACAGTTTTCTCCTCACAAGCTCTACTTTACACAAGTTCTCAGTCCCGAGAATTGTAAGCGCGTATCTCTTCTGAAACCTGTAAACTATATTGTCTGAACATTACCAAACAAAATATTAGATCATAAACACCTTAAAATGTTGACCAGACCACACACTAGGTGAAGGGACGACAACGTTTCGGTTCGTCCTGAACCATTCTCAAGTCGATATGGTCCAGGACGGACCGAAACGTCGTCGTCCCTTCACCTTCTAGTGTGTGGTCTGGTCAACATACTTCAGCCACGTTATTGTGACTCATCGTCTACACCTTAACCTCTTAGTTGAACTAGGAACCTCTGATTTCTAACCTGAAACTCTCTGGTATTGATAGATTGTTAAATATAACTTTCCCGGTCCGCATAGAACTTTAAAGTACATTAATATCCCTTGTGAACATTTGTGAACATTTACTAATAAGATCTTACAAGAAACTGTTCTTTATCCCCTTCACTGTATCGTGATCCTATGTTGAACAGTTGAATCTATTAGAGTTTTGTTATAGCAGATATACTAATGCTTTTTATATGCTAATAATCTAGCATATAAAATTGCAGTATCATTAACATATACATCGTTAATGAAAGACTTTATGCTAAAATAAATAAATAAATATATATATATATATATATATATATATATATATATATATATATATATATATATAATGCATGCCAATATTATAATACTGAGTATTTCATTTTCAATCCTTGGAAATAAGCTAGAAATGCTTTTTAATGCACTTGATTTGAATTATCCCTATCTTTAAACTAATATTACTAGATAGACAGAATCGAGAGAAATTATATTTAAATTCCAAATCACATTTACTTGATTAAAAGTAATTATGAAACTTATGGTAGTTTCCCCATCTTAAGCTGATATTAAGGAAATGCTCAAGCAGTACGTTAAGTGTCTATCCTTTAACACATTTCTACTTCCTTACACCTATACGAAGGGGCCAAAAAATTCGACTATTATTGTCTTTTTTAGAGCAAATATCATTATATATTTTGCTTTAGGTACGTTTTATGGCTATTATATCTATGTAAATATTATATACCTAGAAGGGGTACCACCTCTGGTGCAAGTGTAGGGACCCATAGCCTCGGAGAAGAAAATAAAGAGTACTCAGAGAAGACCTTGTGGATCCTCACTGAACACTTTGATATTTTCTTCTCCTACCACCCCTATTCTTTTGGTATGTGTGTATATTTATCTAACTTTATTTGAAAATGTCATTACACAAAAAAGTTACAATATTGATTACATGCAGGGTACAAGGCTGCTTGTCACAAGTTGAAAAGCTCCTCCAGCTCCTCAGATGGCGGGCAGGATTATATCTATTATTATATCTATATGTAAATAGATATAATAATACCATAATTTATGGTATTATATCTATGTTTATACCATCTATTTGAAATACCATAATTACAAGAAAGTGTAACTTAGGAACGAGTGATTACCCTTTATGGATTTAAATGTACCTAAAACAGCAAGGAAGGCTGTTACTTAATTTGATTAAGGGATTACTGTTCCAAAGATGGCTTACGTACAGGTAAGCTAAATCCTCTTGAGATAGGATTCGTGTCACAGGTGTTGTGTTTAATCCAGGCTACACTAATGAATATCCTGCTAATGAAGAGCTGATGATATTCTATGATTCTAAAGCTCTTTTTATCACTTTTATCTGTGCTCGTGTAAGCTGATGTATACATTTTATACACAATAATTATGCATTATTAATTTTGTAAAATATGTATTGTGCGTATTTAAAGCTGCATGTCCTTTGTAAAATATCTCGCTCAGTACAGATATTATTTGTCACTTGTAAATTGCAAACAATTACTGTAAACACATAGAAACTACCTACAAGTTTAAAATATGTCAATGTTTGTTTATAGAAAATTAGTCAAACTATAAATTTCTTCAAACTCAACACAGATTGCTGCATTTCCTGTCTCTTGAAGCCTGTCTGTTCAACGTCACGATGCTCCAGAGCCAATTGTAAGTACTTACCTAGTTGTGTTTGCGGGGGTTGAGCTCTGGCTCTTTGGTCCCGCCTCTCAACCGTCAATCAACTGGTGTACAGGTTCCTGAGCCTATTGGGCTCTATCATATCTACACTTGAAGTTGTGTATGGAGTCAGCCTCGACAACATTACTGGTGCTTTACTGTAGGTGTTCAGTATCATACGATACTTCATGCTGAAGTAACACACACAAACTCATCAGCTTAAGTGTTGCAGGTCAGCTCAAGGAGCAACAGTCCGTCAAGGAGCAACAGTCCGTCAAGGAGCAACAGTCCGTCAAGGAGCAACAGTCCGTCAAGGAGCAACAGTCCGTCAAGGAGCAACAGTCCGTCAAGCCTCCAGAGGGAGGAAAAGTTATCTCCAAGCACAGCTACAAGGAACGCCAGAGCTCTTGTCTGGCAGAGTTGGTCCACTTCCTCTCCTTCACTTTAATCAAGGAAATTGACTTAGAAAGTTGAAATGAGGATGAAGACAGATACTGCCAGTTAAGCAAGATATAAAACAGGAGAATCCTACAACACACGAATATTCAGTTTGTCTTTTCAACAGCAAACTGGAACAGTAAGATCCTTAGGCAGTCAGACACGAGGCCATTAGACTCCTGGTGCAAGAATACTGTGGAACTGGAAGACCCTGGGACAAGGAGAGCATGGGACAAGGAGAGCATGGGACAAGGAGAGCATGGGACAAGGAGAGCATGGGACAAGGAGAGCATGGGACAAGGAGAGCATGGGACAAGGAGAGCATGGGACAAGGAGAGCATGGGACAAGGAGAGCATGGGACAAGGAGAGCATGGGACAAGGAGAGCATGGGACAAGGAGAGCATGGGACAAGGAGAGCATGGGACAAGGAGAGCATGGGACAAGGAGAGCATGGGACAAGGAGAGCATGGGACAAGGAGAGCATGGGACAAGGAGAGCATGGGACAAGGAGAGCATGGGACAAGGAGAGCATGGGACAAGGAGAGCATGGGACAAGGAGAGCATGGGACAAGGAGAGCATGGGACAAGGAGAGCATGGGACAAGGAGAGCATGGGACAAGGAGAGCATGGGACAAGGAGAGCATGGGACAAGGAGAGCATGGGACAAGGAGAGCATGGGACAAGGAGAGCATGGGACAAGGAGAGCATGGGACAAGGAGAGTAGAGGACAGGGAGACACCTGGGGCCAGATTCACGAAAGCACTTACGAACCTCAACGGAAAGGTTGATGATATTCTTGAGAGATATAAGAATTTTGCACCAAGATTGTAATATTTTGTTGAATTATCTGCATGTGTCTTGCAAATTGTCTATACAGTATACCTAGGTCATAAAAGTATTTGTGTGTACGTCTGATAACATACTACTTGTGAAGGAGGAAATGTATATGTTTACCTCTCAGAATGTTTGGTAATATGTTTATTTGTGATGTGTGTCTATGTGTATATTAACACGTTGTACTGAACGGGGTGAGAATAGCTTGAGCTACCTCATCCCTTTGTGTGTATTTTACCTCAATAAACTTATTTCAATTTCAATTTCAATTTCTTACGAACCTGTACATCTTTTCTCAATCTTTGGCGGCTTTGTTTACAATTATTAAACAGTTAATGAGCTCCGAAGCACCAGGAGGCTGTTTATAACAATAACAACAGTTGATTGGCAAGTTTACATGCTTGTAAACTGTTTAATAAATGTAACCAAAGCCGTCAAAGATTGAGGAAAGATGTACACGTTCGTAAGTGCTTGCGTAAGTCCTTTCGTGAATCTGGCCCCCTGGGGTAGAAAAAACCTGGACCATGACGTCCATGGGGTAGGAGCACCATATGGGGGAGGCCTGACGGCTGAGTGGACAGCGCTTGGGGTTCGTAGTCCTAAGGTTCCAGATTCGATCCCCGGCGAAGGCGGGATTCGCCGGGGATCGAATCCAGAACAGACCGAAACGTTGTCAGTTTATAACGGTCCAGAACAGACCGAAACGTTGTCAGGTTATAATCGTCAAGAACAGACCGAAACGTTGTCAGGTTATAACGGTCAACAACAGACCGAAACATCGTCACGTACGTTATATTCGTGATGGATAATTGGTTCTCAACCCCGTTTCAATTTTTACCCTGTTGATAATCCCGTTTATAGGATTAACGGATAATCCCGTTTCGCACAGACGAAACAAAATCAATAAGCAAAACAAACAGCGTTCAAAAATCAAATAGCAAGATGGTCATCCCTGTTAAATAATTCCACTCACGCGACCTTGATAAACAGAGCGGAATTTGCAGGCTAAACATTGCCAAAACGCAGCCAATAATTAGAGAATTATCCTTTAATTACATCAATTTATCCCTCAATAATGACCGTCTAATGTAACTGTGGTAATTAGCAGGGAGATAATGCTAAGTAACATGAGCTGGTTGTGTATTTTTTTTCTCTCTCTCTCTCTCTCTCTCTCTCTCTCTCTCTCTCTCTCTCTCTCTCTCCAATATAACTCTCCTACCGCAAAATCTCTCATTCCCTCTATTAATACTAATCTCCCCTTTCTAAAGTGCATACTATATCTCCCCCTTTAAAAATACATCATTCAGTATCCATTCTCCCCTCTTATCTATCTCCATCTACCATCTACCTACAGCTAACTCTTTCATAGTATCTACTTATAATATAAAACTCCTACATCAATATTTATTCCACTTTTACTCAAAACGATTCTTATTACTTTCTCTCTCTCTCTCTCTCTCTCTCTCTCTCTCTCTCTCTCTCTCTCTCTCTCTCTCACTCTCTCTCTCTCTTTCCTCTTTATTCCTCTGTCAAATTTTACGTTTCATCTAAAACTGAAAATAACTCGCCATTAAAATTGTAAACATCTGCATGTGCAAATAATTCTATTTGGATTTAGGGGTCTGGCAGGTGTTTTAAAATGTTTAAAGGTGTTAAAACAATGTTAAAATGTTAAAAGGTGTTTAAAATGGAAATAGACCAGTTAGCCTCAACCACACCAGGGACAGACAGACAGGTAACATGGATTATTCTGTCGCATTTCCATATACAAACACCCCGCAATGTGGACGTTGGTGTTAAACAAGTCTGACATTGTTTTCGATATCTGAAGGGAGACTCGTCTTCAGGCTGGGTGCTGCTGGGGAGCCGCTGGGTGCTGCTGGGGAGCAGCTGGGTGCTTCTGGGGAGCCGCTGGGTGCTACTGGGGAGCCGCTGGGTGCTGCTGGGGAGCCGCTGGGTGCTGCTGGGGAGCCGCTGGGTGCTGCTGGGGAGCAGCTGGGTGCTACTGGGGAGCAGCTGGGTGCTACTGGGGAGCAGCTGGGTGCTACTGGGGAGCAGCTGGGTGCTTCTGGGAGCAGCTGGGTGCTTCTGGGAGCAGCTGGGTGCTTCTGGGAGCCGCTGGGTGCTTCTGGGAGCCGCTGGGTGCTTCTGGGAGCAGCTGGGTGCTTCTGGGAGCAGCTGGGTGCTTCTGGGAGCCGCTGGGTGCTTCTGGGAGCCGCTGGGTGCTTCTGGGAGCCGCTGGGTGCTTCTGGGAGCCGCTGGGTGCTTCTGGGAGCCGCTGGGTGCTTCTGGGAGCCGCTGGGTGCTTCTGGGAGCCGCTGGGTGCTTCTGGGAGCCGCTGGGTGCTTCTGGGAGCCGCTGGGTGCTTCTGGGAGCCGCTGGGTGCTTCTGGGAGCCGCTGGGTGCTTCTGGCAACAGCTGGATGCTACTGGCAACAGCTGGATGCTTCTGGCAACAGCTGGATGCTTCTGGCAACAGCTGGATGCTTCTGGCAACAGCTGGATGCTTCTGGCAACAGCTGGATGCTTCTGGCAACAGCTGGCAACAATATATAAACAATCTGGATTGATTCATACATATAAATAATCTGGAATTATTTATACACATATAAACCATGACTGAACTGGTTAAAATAATTACCTCGTTAGGGGCCATATAATTATTTACATTCTTCATAATTATATTCAACAATAGCCGTTGTTCACGTATTTCAACCTGAGCTATAAACCCTACAACAATCCCATGTGTATGATTGTATCCGGTTATCGGTTCAGGATAACAACTACAGTATTTCAATAATATATTATATATATATATATATATATATATATATATATATATATATATATATATATATATATCAAGGTTTTTTCTCAGTCTTAATTCAATTGTTATCGTTTTAATGTTAAATTTTGCGTTCATATATTTTAACACTGTTAATATGGTTACACAGATCACACTAACGTGATGCATCAAATGAACAAATCCACAAGGGATTAGCTCAGGCGATTAAGGCAGTGTCTGGGATGCTCCTGGACGCAGGTTCGAATCCTCGTCACGGCCCTTGTGGATTTGTTCATTTAATATGGTTGCTCGTTCTGCTACTTGGTACAACGTTGGAACAAGTTTTAACACCTAACCAGTTATAACAACCAATATAGCAAGTTGTAACAACGTTCTAATACGTCATAAACACGTTAAGCCAAGATGTAACAACTTTATTACAAGTTGTAACAAGCGGAAAATAGAGAGAGTTTCGGTTTGTGTTTCCAGGGTCGTTGCTCAGTCCACATGCCCTTATCAGCATCCTTAATGGTCTCATCTTGTAAGATGATTCAATATTTAGCTCAGATATATTTTTATATATTTATATGTAAATATAATATAAATTATATTTATATTATATATATAAATTTATATATATAAATTTAAATTTTATATATTTATATATATTTATATATTTTATATATATTTATATATTTATCTATGATATATTTTTTGTTTTTCTTTACATCGTGACGAGATAACACCTATCCTGGGTTATCATCAACCAGGTGTTGATTTCGACGCCTGGGAATCATCACTTTTGAATTAACAGTCATGTTCGAAAAGTGGACTTTTGTGTTATCAATTCCTGAATGTTCGAACGTTAAACTTAAGCTGATATTTAGGATTCAAAAATACTGATACTGGAAACTTTAAAGGATTCATGAGATTAAGACATAAATTTGAGACTGATTCCATTATTTTTTTCCATAAGCCCGAGATCTGGTGCCAGATTCAAGAAGCAGTTACGCAAGTACTTACGAACCTGTACATTTTCTCTCAATCTTTGGCTGCTTTGTTTACAATTATTAAACAGTTAATGAGCTCCGAAGCACCAGGAGGCTGTTTATAACAATAACAACAGTTGATTGGCAAGTTTTCATGCTTGTAAACTGTTTAATAAATGTAACCAAAGCCGTCAAAGACTGAGGAAAGATGTACACGTTCGTAAGTGCTTGCGTAACAGCTTCGTAAATCTGGCCCCAGGTTCGTAAGTGCTTGCGTAACAGCTTCGTAAATCTAGCCCCAGGTTCGTAAGTGCTTGCGTAACTGCTTCGTAAATCTTGCCCCAGGTTCGTAAGTGCTTGCATAACAGCTTCGTAAATCTGGCCCCAGGTTCGTAAGTACTTGCGTAAAAACTATCGCCATTTAATAGCTTTCAAAAGCATAAATGAAACACAGAACTGCAGAGACATTTCAGCCAGATATAGCAACAATTGTCATAAAAAAAAAAAAAAAAAAAAAAAAAAAAAAGTCAAGCCTCAGGACAAAACACTAAAAATAATTAATATAGTCGTAAATAAATGTTCATTTTGAACTGTTTTGGAATTTGTGTACAATTTATGTGTTGCTGTTGCATAGAAGTCTATGTTGCCGTTTAAAATTGTTTAAAATTTAGATTTTTTTTTTTTGAAGGGCAAGAGTCAGAGTATATTCATTTCAGTATACTATTACCAGGTAGAGTATACTGAATGTATACTCTGACGCTTGTCTGATACAGGCAGAACCTTCCCTTGTGCTAGGTATACCTATTCACCAACAAAAGGAGAAATATGAGAAATATTGCTATATTTATTTGTAATTATTCCGTATTAGAGTAGACTTTTGTTACACCCTCATTTAGATATATATATATATATATATATATATATATATATATATATATATATATATGTGTGTGTGTGTGTGTGTGTGTGTGTGTGTGTGTGTGTGTGTGTGTGTGTGTGTGTGTGTGTGTGGGTGTGTGTGTTGTGTGTGCGCGCGCGCGCGCGCAAAAGCACGAAAAATAAATGTGATTAAAAATGTGACAGTGTCAGACCACGGAGGAAAATTGAAACAGGAATT